TAAAATTTATTAAAAATACAGTAAACACTATTCTAATAAATCACATTTTGTAAGCAACCTATAATTATCTTGTGTCATATATTTATATGAAAAGTCACTTTAAACATAACCTTCTAGCAGTACATTTGTTCAACATTTCTTTAAAATTTCTAAAGTACTTTGAAAACTAATATAAATATTTTAGTACTTGATAATATTAAAGATATGTAATAAGTAAATAATCACACACAGAATTTATTACTCATTCCAACGAAACCTACTTCGAGGAAAATTAGTATACTTTTATATTACCTGTAGCCACTTGTGGAAGTCTGATCATAACTGCAATGATTAAACTGGGATTTATTGTTGGCTTCACTGTTAGTCCTGTTGAAATGAAAAAAATAAACCTGAATATAATTTACACAGTAAAGAATTATTGGGACATCAATGTGATGGTTAGGCCATAGAAACTGGACAATACAATGGAGTATAAAGTTGATCTGTTATTGGTTAAGCCTATTTTAACTTGGTAATGTAATGACAATCTGTAGGTTTATAGTTTTTACATCCTGAAGTACTTTAGAAACCTTTTTAACATCAGATATGAGGATCACATAATATGACCACCCTACTTTGTAAAATAATAATAAGTGAAGAATTTTAACCAGAAAAGAAAACTTAAGTTTTTGGTGAAGTTACTATAAAACTAAAACAGTATTATGGAAGTGCTGAAAAAGACAGTTTCTATTTTTCTTTCTTCTGCATGTTTAAATTGAAGTAAATTATGAGGTAGTAGCAATTAACCCCTTTCATCTACTTCACTTTCAGTGTGTGTGTGTGTGTGAGAGAGAGAGGGGGGTGCAGTCTTTTTACTTATACAAAAGCAGTTTTCCAAAAATTAATTTGTAAATTAACATTCATGAATGTTGACTTTAAAATGAAACCTTGAAAACAGTCAAATTCTAGGATATCACTACTTCATTACATATAATTTCTAAATACACATACTATTCCCTTGGTATAGAAAAAACAACAGACATTGGCTTTTTAAGTACACAAGTCCTATATTGCATAAAACTTCATACATAAGGTTACTGCTTCACAAAAACCAATGAACCCAAACACAGTTTATGTTCATCTAGATTTACTAAGGAAGAGTCAGTAGGATTAATTTCTGTGAGTACAAGAGTATTAGGTAAGTGTCATAAGCAGGATATTTGGTTTTGTGTTTATCTACAGATTAACCGTTTCAGCTTCAATCTCAACACATTTCATAAAAACAGTATTCAAAAACCTGTTCAGAAGTTTACACTTTAAAACAAGTTACTCAAAAAATACATACAGTTATCTTCTACATAAAACAGAACTAATCTAAATGTTATAAACACCACATTCCTCAAAAATATGGGAGTGGAATATTAACTGTAAATGTGAACGCCTAATGTAAACCTAAAGTTCAACTGTCAAAACTGTACACATTTTTTAAAAATAATCTCAAGAAAATTTTATGAAAGATTCCCAGACCCCATCCAGCTAAACATAAAATAAATAAAAAATGTAATAATATCACTCAAACGTTTATATACTACAAAATATTTTGGCTGAGATTAATACTCAAGATCTGTTCATTAATTTTCCTCTTATAATTTTGCAAAAAATAAATACATCTGAAATAGCAACCTATACTATTTTATTGGGTGTTATTTATTAAGACTATTGTGATCACATCAAATTGTGTTACCCTACAAAAAAGTTGTTTTTCACAAAAAAAATTAATTTATTGCCGTTTTTTTTTGGCGAAGCAATAAAAAAATTACAGGGTTTTTAATGTCTAAATTATGAAATACTAAAAATACTTCACATATTTACTTTAGAATCTTTTCTAAATGACAAAAATTTTCACAGTGAGATTAAAGAGCTATTACAATTATTAATAATAGTATATATGATTTTTGTATCTACTTACGAATGTCTTATTCAAACTTCACTGTATAATATCGTATGTATGTCTCATATGCATTAACGTAAAACCACTTGCAATTTCGAGAACTAGCTTAAGCTTACCAAGGTTCAACATCGCGATTATCCAAAAACTGAAACAAATATCCATGTTTGGGGCCAGGTGTGAAGCATCAAATTTCAAAATACTAAACTATATAACTTATAAATTATAATTTAGGCCTAAGCTTATGTCAAAAACTGCAACAAGTCATATCATTTGATAAAACTGTATATGGCTAATTACCGAGTAGAATAAAAAAGTATTAAAATTATTCCTTTCAATTCGGTGAAGAGATTAACTTCATGAAGCTTAAACTCACACTAATCAGAATCAAAATGGTAAAATGTTTACATGGAAGCCTAATCCCAATCAATAGCGCAAAATCATTTTTTTCTGCTTTCTTCTTTTATATATATATATATATATATAAATTTATTATTATTCACGAATCGATGTTTAAACTACAAATAATTACATGATGTTACGACTCATGATCCCCATCGTATCACGACCAACAGATGCTGTAGCACGAAATGGTGTCAAACATTACAAATGCAACTACCTTCGGCACCTATTAAGAATTTCATAAACTCTTCTGATTAACTACAAATAGTTCCAAATAAAACTTTGGTCACCAATAAATAATTATTGTTCCTAGTCTTATTCTCTTTATTACATTACACTTTCTTAAAGCAGGTAAGGTCATTGAAAATACACGTGATTTTCTTCCTATACAATTTGTAGCTGGAAATCCAAAATAAGTAAAGACAACATATTTTTTTTTTCTCCTGAAGTTAAACTATTAATTGTCGTGAAAAGAAAAACAATATGCAACTACTTAAGGCCTTGCACGGCCAAGTGGTTAGGGTACTCATCTCGCAATCTTCGGGTCACAGGTTTGAATCCCTTAATAAAACAAGATCGTCCTTTCAGCCGTGGTTGCGTTATAATGTAACGGTTAATCCCACTTTTCGTTGAGAAATAATAGCCTCAATGTTGGCGGTGTTGATTAGCTACCTTCCTTCTAGTCTGTCACTTTTAAATTAGGGACGACTAGTGCAGATACTCTCGAGTCGCTCTGCGGGAAATTCGACAAAGAAACAAACAAAAGAACTAATTCTTATTACATAATAAAGTCGACTCTTCTACTTTAGGTAAGTCAAGTTAAATACCTGAGAAGATTACAAGTTTATGCATATTAAACTTCATTGTGGATTTTGTTTTCATCATCTGATTATTCCGCCTACAAAAGTGAATATAAGAAACTAATTACAATGACCATGCCATATAGTAACTTAAGTCGGTTGAAAAACTGGTAAATTTGCATTTTTCTTGCAAATCTATGCATTTGCCGTTGACCCATCGGAGGCCACATTGTCTCGGCAACTTGATCAAATGAGCGAGTGCGTTATTAAAGTAACGCCCCCCAGTGGCACAGCGGCATGTCTCCGGACTTACAACGCTAAAAACCGGGTTTCGATACACATGGTGGGCAGAGCAGGGATAGCCCATTGTGCAGCTTTGTGCTTAACTTCAAACAAACTATTAAAGTAACACTGTAATGTTAAAATCATACTGCAACATATAGGTGATTCCCAATCGATGGCTCAATATTTTACATTTAACTATCGCAGTTTTCAGTCTAACTATAGACACGTCAATACATTCAGGGTCATCAAAAATATAATGAACACAATCCATAATAAATCATTTTCAATTAGAACATTTGAAACAACAAACTAGTTCAACACGTTGAACGCAATAATTCGAAATAAAAACGAATCTTATTACTAGTATACTTTTCACATTAATATAAACTTTTGATTGTTGCTTTTAAAGTTCTATAAAAACCTCTTCTGATTCCAGAACAACCTAATATTACTCTCAGATTAAGGCCTAGACCTATTTCTTAGTTTCTTTTGCAAACAAAACATATTAATTGTCCCCATCTTTCAGTACACACTAAACAACCACGATATAACTGTCGGAATATTTCACTGAACATTTCCTACGCCATGCTTTTTAACACCCAAGAACTTAAGGAAAAATCTACATCAGCCTTTAGCTCATTCCTAGAATATTAGAAAAAAATCATTCAATTATTTAAAAGTACCAAATCCATCACCAAAACCACTATAAAAACCCACTGTGTCATTCCAAGAATAAGGATCAAATTGTACTTACCCAGAAACATCCATTACTGAGGTGACTGAAAGTGGGAGAAAGAAAAAAGAAAAACTTAGTAGGGCGATGTAAACATTTTTCATGAGGTTCTCTCATGTGACACAGGCATAAAAACACTAAATATCAAACGCACGGCAGGGATTTGCAAAATCTCATTCAGGTAAATTGTCTTACTTGAAATATATTTGTTAAAAGGGGGAGGGTGAAAGAGACTCGTGCCTAAACTAAATAACACCAAAGCACAACCCTGGTATGCATACATTGCTATTCAGTGTAACCGATACGTCCAAGACTGTCCCTATACATTGTTAGTCTGTCTACAATTGTTTCCAGTGCTTATATTTTGAGATATTGATTTCATTGTTTATAAAACTATCCATAGACATAGAAGGGGAGAGATAGCGGCTTTAGCTCTCAACTATATCGCAATCTATTGCACATAACAAGCCTGCCAGGCTGTTTTCTCTAAGTCAGTTACCAGGGGTTGGCAGCAACAGTAAGACGTTTCGTACTGATTGAAACTCTTCATACACTCTAATGGCGTATTACTTTGAACAGCCTGTCACATAAATGGTCTTTGATAACGACACTCGTTGCTAAAAGAGCATTCAAAATGAGCACCTTTTCTAAGTCTTGCAGATCATATTCGAATAAAAAGCTGCAGTTATTTCATTTACAAAAAACAAAAGTACAGTTACCATAGCTCAAAGTTTTTACTGACCACAGTAATTGATTTCAAATTCATATAGTTAAGTAAAAAAAAAAGTCTTCTTTGGAACAACAATAAACATTAGAGAACGAAACATATTCAAGTCTCGATTTCAACTTTAAGCTACCGTGGCTCAACAAAAATCTAAATGGTTGGGAGATTATTAGTTTCGTATTGTGCAAAATGTATCTATTCAAAAACCACACAAGATTATAACACAGGAAGGCTCGATATCATTGATCGTAAAAACAACTTAAGGAAACAATGATATATATATCAATTTACCTAAAACAAACGTGTCCAAATTAGAGTTCATATTCTTCACAGCTTTGTAATTTAAACAACGAGCTTTATAGCACAGAACAGTATTAATTCATGTAAATAACTCATTGTTATGCATTAACATGATACTAATACAAAGTGCGTGCTGCACTCTTAAAAACTTATTCTCTCTCTTTTAAACATAAATCGTGGTTATAAATTCCTACTCATTCATATAATAAATCTTTTAAGTCAGAGTTTTTTAAGATCTCGCTGTTGAAGTTTGTGCGTTTAATCAAATAAAACAAACCCACAAACTAAAACTACATCTGAGTGAATCTGACAGATGTTCCTTCATCTCATCAGGATACGCGTGAACTTCTGTTTTACCATTTGTAATGGATGGCACGCTAAACAAAAGGTTTCATACATGTTTATAACTATAATACATTTCTCTTATTAAAAAAATATTTTCAAAAATACTTTCTTCAATACACACAGTGTCAACAATTATAATGTAATCAAGCATATTGCTACTTACATATTTTTCTCACCATCTTCAGTTTTCAATACAAAATTTAAAAAGTTACTTGATCAGCAAAGGATGCGTTTCACGAGCAAAACTGTCGAGATACTGAAAGCTCACGTTCTGCCACTTTGTGTAACGTAGCAACAAGTGTGAGGTGATGCGACAACTCGGAACTACGTCACAAGTATAGTAATACAGAGATTACGGGTGAATCTTGCTTCAGACAATGCTTCATTAAGCTCGCTCAATCTTCGTGTTAGTGCAAAAATCAATATTTCACACTGGCTTAATCTGTTTTCTTCTTTTTTGTTTTTGTTTGTTTGTTTAAACTTGCTCTACACGGAATTTCATTTTAAATTTGATCAGTTAATTAATACACTATTTCTTTGCTTTGGATATCTGTGTAAAGCTAAACGAGCTATCCGCTCTAGCAGTCCCTGATTTTAAACTAATAAACAAGCGGGAAGGCAGCTAGTCAACAGCGCCCACCGTTAACTCCTTGGGTACTAATCGAATAATAGGATTTGACAATCACTCTTATCACACACACGGCTTCAAAGTGCGGAGCGCGATTGTAAATTAAGCAGTGTCGTTTAGCAGTTAGTCTGTCCGGACTGTGAATCCGATATTTCTAAGTTAGCGTCCCGTTGCCACAAAAACATGCTCTGGACTTTAAGGCCGTGGGTGCACTATAAGAGTGACGGTCATCCCACTCCTCGCCCAGAAAAGAATAGCTCAAGAGTTAACGGTGGGTGTTGCTGACGGCTAGCTGCATTGCGTCCAGACTATCAGTTCAAATTAGTGAAGGTCACGAACAAATAGCCCTTATATATATATATATATAGGTTTACGCGAAAATTCTGGAACAAAAAACCAATGAGAATGTCAATCTTTTATTGCAGTTGATTTATTATTATTGCTGCTGCTGTTGTTGTTGTTTTTCTATACAGTCGAGGATAAAAAATTGCACTTGAAAGGAACTGCTACATCAATAACATAAGAGCAATGCTATTTTTATGCTGACAGAATAAGCTGATAAAATCTAATGAAAAACAAGCAAACATGGGCGACATTTATTATATGTACCAACAAATAAGAAATGTATATATACATATACGCCAAAGACTACACAGCAGTATAAGAAGACAAAAAATAACTAATTGGTTTAATTCAATGTCATTTAATGTGGTAATCTTGCACAAGCGTTACTGTAAGTGTTAAAAACACCCTGAAATAAAACTGCTTAATTAAAAGGAAATATCAGGACATAACTGACAAAATTAAAACAGCACAGTAAGCTCAAAGACTTGACAGGCCATCATTAGTATAATAACGTTTTTATTTTTTTATAAACGTCTTAACATAGATACAAAATACTGAAACAAAAGTAGTTTGTAACCAACTTAACGAAAAAGTATTTTAATTAACCTTGAAAAATACAAATAGAAGTACCGTTAAATGAGATGGAACTATTACTACACGATGCCAAAGATAATAATGTTGAGGATGTATCGTTATATTAGACCAAAGTGACCCAATGTAACAGTGGAGGTAGCAAAGTAGAGGTATGTTACCATGATGCTAAAGATGTAATGTTGAAGATGCGTTACAATATTAAACCAAAGTGGAAGCAAAAAGACAGAGTTGAATTAAAGAAATAATATGACTGATGCACGTTACCAAAGATGACGTACAATAAACAACAACAACAACAACAAAAAAAAAGATTTACCTCCTTCCAGGGAGCCTGATCACCAATCTTCATATCTGAAGAAAACAAAAAATATTAATTACATAAAAATAAACTTACAAAAAAAAAAAAACAGATCATTTGATAAATGCAACGCCAAAGAAAGACTGTTAACTATAATCTTTGGACAATGCATCGATTAAAAACGAAATAAATTATCCAAACACCAATTTTGAAAACCTCTATAAGTTACTATAATTGTATATATGTGCAAAATCCTGACCCAAAATAGTTTATCTACATGTTCCACGTCAAGGAAGTTAACGTCAATTCACGACTAAATTACAGTTTTCATAAGTAAAGTCACCAATTACAAACGCAAACTGTAAACGGTGGCGCGGGTAAACAAGAAGTAAAATAGTATGAATCTCTGTTTACTAATAATGAGCTCATTCATTAGCCGCTGGAGACAAAAAGGGGCATATATATTCATAAACACATCTACTCTAATGCTTTCACAAAGAAAATGATCATCATACTGTATTTCAAGTTTAATATTATCGACTGATATAAAAAGAAAACTCGTGTACACTACACGTGACTACCTCATCTATTTCATCACATCTAGCTTGCGCATTGGCCTATTTTTAAACGAGTTTCTTTAGCTTCCAGGCAATTTGAAACAGCTCAGTGAATTTTCTTGATTTCGAGGCAGCAGAGTAAGACTTTATCTTTCCATTTATTTGACTACTGGAAAATAAAAGCTCTAACCTTTTGCTCTAAGATGAAACGTTCACCTTTGCCTACGCGCAGTTATAACATGGAATTCCACACCTGTAGCCTATTATCTTGTTCTATTTTCTTTGTCTCCTCACTGGCTCGTTGGACGGCAGTATCCAGGGTTTCACTTTTTGAATCACCGCCTCGATGTGCACATAAAAATCTTGGATCGTATTATGATTGGCATGTTCTTTCATTAACTTAGTAGATGCATTAAATTTCTCTTAAATTCACTTAACTGATATTAATTGTTGAAGATTAGATAATAATGTAATCTTCATCTAGGATATAAACTTGTGTTTGTGTACAATCTATGTACTAAAGTTATTTAACTACTTGAAAATTTTTTAGGAAAAAAATTAAATTAAAAACTAGATACTGTTACGACAGCGGAGGTCACGTGATTCTAGTAACACGTCATGCGTTTCTCGAACGTTCACGTCCCTTCCT